TTCTGTCCTCTTCTGCTTTACTGCCGCCCTACAAAGGCAGACTTTTGGAAGCGGAGCTTCACAAGACACAAGCTACACCTCGTCCACTGTAGTTTAACTACATCTCCTCGTTCTCTGTGAGTTTAGCGTCATCTGAGCTTTCAGCCGAAATGTGCATCTGATGGCTCGAGCTGATGATCATAGTTAAAATGCTGAAATCGTCGTTGACGATAAATAAATTGCTGACAAATATACTTTTTGGACTGATCATGTGTGTCCACTCAAAACCAAATGTCAAATTCTCAGTGACTAAACAGCTGATTTTCACACTACACTAACACTATATAACACTAGTTAAAAAAAGCTACGTTTATTGTATCGAACGCTAAAATGTTACACTTTAATAAGAATTTCAGATGAAAACCGCTTGCTTTCTTTGTTTCCCCCCGCATTCCCTTTATATAAATTACAGAGACCAATGGTTCTTGAGGGCAAAAAAGTTATAAAGCGCACTCGTTTTCTCATGGAGAGAATCGTCTGTAACGTCGTCTTATGCTGTGTTCACACCCAGACGCGGAACGCGCGGATAAATCACGCTATTCGCGTGTAAATAGCCGCGTGAAAATTTGAGTTTACTCGCTTCATTCGCGTGTCAAATTCACTTCAGAACAGATGCGGATTCGCGTGATTGGCAAGGCTTCTGTCTGCCCGGTGACTCTAGCTTCATAGCTTAATGGCTAACATGGATTTTATTGAGAGAATAACAGTGTTTATGTGCTTTAGGAAGGCTGAAAAACAGCGTCGATATGTTTGGAGCCGTGTCTGAGTCCACTAGATCCTGTCAGAGGTGCATCCAGCTCTGTGAGCTCATCAACTCCTCCAGAAGCTAAACCTGGATGACGGAGGCTTTTAGCGGTGCTTCTGATTGAGCCAAGCCGAGTTTGATGAACTTCTGTGTCAGCTGGAGGATTTCCTTCAAGACACCAAAAACAGGCGATACGTCACAATCACGCCCCTACAGGAGCAAGCTCCTGATTCGTTAACGCGGCGCGAATGTCCGCAGAAGTTCAGATTTTCGAACTCGAGCGATGCGTGCAAAACGCGCAAAACGCTCAATTCCCGCCGCGCCATTCACACGTATCGTGCCATTCGCCCTGCGCCAATAGCGCAATTCGCGTCATTCACGCGTATTGCGGTGCAGGATGTCTTTTCGCTCATTTGCATTGACTTAAGATGTAAATCCCTCGCGCTTGACGTGCGTTCCGCGTCTGGTGTGAACGCAGCATTAGAAGTAAAACAAAAACAATTAAATAACTAATAAAAATATGGATACGATACTAATTTATAGGCACTCAAGATTAATATGAGTTTGGACAAAGTGAGCACGTTACATCCCCTTTAAGTCATTCGACACTTTCTGGGTCTGTCATGCAGCTGATTTATTTGTGTTTTCGTCTATTAAAACGAAACGGAAAAAAGTTCAACGATGCTTGGAGACTATTTGCGCAATTTGAGTTGGACAGAATCGGAAATCTTCAAGAGAGAACCTGTCAAGTTGGTTCATCAAAACAACTATTTCTTTTCTTTATCGCTTGCAATATGAATAACTCAATGCTTTTAGTTGCAGATGCTGAATTATCGTTCATGTGCCGGCGCAAATGCTCAGATTTCCGCCCATCATTACGTCTATTTATTTGTATGTTCATTTTTGTAATATTAATGAAGAACATGCAAAAGTTAACATGATTTACGTTCAATCCAGTTTTTTAAAGTAAGGTTTTAAGTCTTTTAGTAGATACAGCGGGGGAAATAAGTATTGAATGTGTCACCATTTTTCTCAGAAAACATATTTCTTAAGGTGCTGCCGACTTGACATTTTCACCGGATGTTGGTAACAACCAAAGAAATCCATATATGCAAAAAAAACCAAGCTAATTATTTTACAGATGAAGCTATGTGTAATAAAATGAAATGACGCAGGGAATAAGCATTGAACACATGAAGACAGCGAAGTGTAGAAAGGCAGTGAACGCCCAGACAGCAACTGAAACCTCTCAGTAGTTCATTATAAACCCTCTGCCCTTCCTCAGTGTAAATGAATATCAGCTGCTTCCGTCCGACATCTACATTAGCAGGAGGATGAAGATGAAACCAGGGTGGACGTTTCAGCAAGACAATGATCCAAAACGCAGCCAAGGACACTCTCAGATGCTTTCGGAGAAAGAAAATCAAGCCGTAGAATGGCCCAGCCAATCCCCAAATGTATATTACATGAGATACTTGCTCTTTATAGCCAAAAAAAGTGGTTCTAATTGAATTTGCAAACGTAAACCTTAACATAAAAGCTTCAAATTAAGTATTTGTTCGTTACGTTTTAGTTACTATACTCTCGAAATCATTCCGCATGATTTTTTTTTACAATTTTTATTTTTTTTTAAACAAATTTCTGTGCGGAAACAGCTAAAAGATTTGGTCTACTTGATTAGTCACTGAAATAATTGATGATCAATCATTGTTATTGCTAAAAAAATCGATTATCAAGTTTGTTGCAGCCCTACATAGTTATCGTGATCCAATAACTATAGTTTAAAGAATATCTACAGAATTCTCCTAGGGTTTAAGAGGAAGTCCAGTAGCAGTTCAAGAGAGACGATGACATCCACCAAACACTGACCAATGGACACATCAGCCTTCAGTGAGCAGGTTTTCAATCTCTGACCATCAATTCCAGTATATATAGTGACGTCCACACATCTTTAAGTTTGTACTAAAGATATTCCGCTCATTTCATCATATACGAGCAGGAACATGTGATGTGAAGGGTTTCTGAGAGGCTGTAGGAGTTCCTGTATTTACTGAAGTGCTCTCGCGACTCTTTCCCAGCAGGCAGTGTGTGTTTAAACTGTCCTCTCCGGCTATTAATAGCTCCGCCGCTTCATCCGTGTATGCTGAATATAAAGCATGCCACCTTCTGGCTGCTGCTAAACGCCACAGAACCGATGCCATGAACCCTGAAGCACCATGTGCTTGAAATGCCAAGATAACGCCGGATAAAAGTGTGTAAATAAACAAGACGACGACTTTCATCCAAAGTGACATTTATAACACCAGACAAAGGCATGAACACAGAGCGCTTTAGTATCCCGTGAATTTAAAGGGATAGTTCAGCCAAAACTGAAGTTATTTTGAAGAATGTTAAAAATTGATAACCAAAGTCGAAAAAAAAAAGTACTATGAAATTGAATAGTTACAGGTTTCCAGCGCTTTTCGAAATGTCTTCTTTTGCGTTCAACAGAGGAAAGAAACTCGAAGAGGTTTGTGGCAAGTGTGTCACAATCTCCAGCGATCTAATCCTTGTAGATCCCTGGTAAACACGCAGATCGCCATAGAACAACAAATCCGCCACTGTATGGACTACAGATACCAGGCATGCACCGCTCACACGCACCTGTTCCGGATTCCGCTGATTTCACACGCATCAGTGCGGAGTCTTGTTATATTGTTACTGTGAACATTATGACTAGTTTCCCTTCCCTTGCTTTGCAATGTTTTGACCCTCGCCTTGTTTGTTTGTTTGTTTGTTTACGTTGCTTGCTGCCTGTACTGACTATTCGTTTGTTTAATGACTAGGACTCTGGATTGCCTATATACATCTGTTTGACCCTTTTGACTATTGCCTGCCTGACCATTCTCTTAATAAATACTGCATTTGCCATTCTCACATCCCATCGCATTACAGCGAGTAGATGGATGTCTGAATTTTCATCTTTAGGTGAACTGATTGCCCATATCATTGCAAATTAATTTAAAACAATCCAAATGAACTTAACATGGGCTAATAAACGAGAAAACTTAAGCCGAGCACAACATACTAGACAAGACAGGACTAGTGCTACCAAAAGCTAACAAGACCAAAGTGGCAGAATCCTGACATTTTTAGCTTAGCATAAGTCATTGAACCGGATTAGACCGTTAGCTTCTGGCTCAAAAATGTCAAGGTTCGATAAGTTAAAAGGTGACCCTTCAGTAGTCGTGTACTAAGATTGCTGAAAAATTCAAAGTTGCTATTTTCTGTTGGCAAATATGGGACTATCCTCTCATTCTGGTTCCTTTGAAGTGACATATTTTCTATAGCACAGTATTCAGGTACACAAATAACACTGTATAGTCTTCATAGTTTAAACAATTCAATAAATATGTCCTTAATAAAGTTACAAACGGTACAATTTCAAAACACATACCTTAAAACACATGCAATTTGACTCGATTACGATTTAAACTCTTCAGTGACTCCAAAAAATAGAAGCTTTGTGTTCTGAAATGTGACTTCTGGTGAGCTATAATCCCAACATATAATCTCAACCCTGCACTACCTGCTGTGCGACTTTTGCGGATGTGATATATTGATGCTGAAATGATATACTTGCTGACAGCATTCTTCGTAATATCTTCTTTTGCATTCAACACAAAGATAATCCAAACCAGGTGTATTGAATAATGGCTGAAGTTTCGTTTGTGTGTGAACATCTCCTTTAATACATAATATCTCTATATATATATATATATATATATATATATATATATATATATATATATATATATATATGTATATGTGTATATATATGTATGTATGTGTGTATATATATATTTATATATATATATATATATGTATGTATATATATACATATTTATACACACACACACACATATATATATATATATATATACATATATATACATACATTCATATAT